CCGGTGCTCAGCGGCCGTCTCCGGCATCGGAGGACGGCGGAGGATGACGGCGGAGGGCTGGAGGTGGTGGCCAACGACAGCGGCGTGAGGCTTGTGGAGGCAAAGTTTCCGGCGAACTTGCCGGAGTTTCTGGAGCTGGTGATGGGAGACAATGCAAAAGCCGAAGCTGAAGCCCTTTTCTGGAGAGATATTGATGAAGATGATCCTCAGTTCTCACCCTTGTTCTATGTTCAGGTATATATATATATATATATACACACACACGTACATATATACATATATATCGGTCCGATCCATTTTTTTCGTGTTTTTGTATGGTTTTATCTTTTAGGTAAGATCTATATTGGATACAAATATATAATCTCATACACTCATTATATTACTCTAAGACACCGAATTCATATATATATAGATGATATAATATCGATATTTTTCACTTTTATAATATTTTTCTACGCAATTGTCCCGAATTCGAATCTGAAAGAAAGGATATAATCCAAAACACATGACCGGTTCTTTATCTCGATAGTAATCTGGATGTTGGTTCATAATATATATACGATTAACCAAAAAACATACATTATATATATATATATATTTAAACCAAAAAATATATATATATATATCAATTTACATGTTCATTTTTTTAAAAAAAAAATCATCATGATTTAATTTTTATTTTATTTTATTTTTTGGGCCGCAGGTGACTAATTTCGAGTGTGGAGGATACTCGGTAGGGATAAGCTGCAGCGTTCTTGTAGCAGATATTCTTATTGAGACAGACTTCCTGAGAAAATGGTCTGACATCCAAGCTTCACTGTTACGTCATGGGCCCACCAAAACACCCATCTTCTACCTCCCTACGCTCAAACAAGACATCGGCTATCTCTCCGGTCTCTCCAGCTCGGCCTCCGTCCTCCACCGCTCCGAACCCGTGATTCTCCTCGCCAAATCCTCGGCCTCCGACGTCCGAATCTCCGAGAAAACCGCGTTGAGCCGCTTGAAAAAGACGGCAGGGTCAGATCTCGACGGTGGAACGGGTCTCGACGTTTTCTTGTTCGTCAAGGAACAGGGCAAGAACTGTGACGAGAAGCTGGAGGTTACCATCTCGAGACATGGAGAGATCAACGTGAAGAATAGCGTTTGCGTTTGCCATTGCGATTTGGGTCTCGAGACTCAGGCTCTGCGTTTAGGGTTTAGTGAGCTGAGCTTCTGGGGAGGGAAAAAACCGGACCGGAGTTCGTGTAAGATCGGGGCTGTCTCTGGTGGGCTTGTGTTGGTTGTCCCGTTTCCATGCCGTGACGACGAATCTATTGCCGAAGCTATCGTCACTGGAGGCGTCGTCACTAATTTGGATTCGACCCATTGATTAGTCGGCCCATATATTCACGACACGTAGTATATATATAGAACGTTGCGGGCGAAATTTGTTTTTATATAATTATATTTTTTTTTTGTTTTTTGTTTTCGGGCGTGGACTGTTTAGTCTAATTATTAAGATTTAGAAAATGCAATCCCATTTTACAAGTTATATATATATATATATATATAATTATTACATCTTTTTATAGATTATCCGCCACTATATAATAAACTCTAAAATCCACTGGTCTATATAATTCCACACTGTTTCATTATATTATAATTTCGTGCATTATGATTCAGGAATATATATATACACGGACGTACCTACATTACATAGAATGGGGTGGGGTTACAAACCCAGTAAAAAAAAATTAATTTCTTTGTAAATCTTATAAAATTATGAATAAACTCATCAAATGCTCTCATAAAAATAAAATTATATATGTATAATTATTACATCTTTTTATATGTAGATCCGCCGCTATATCTTAAACTCTAATTAAATCAACGGGTATAGATTTTTTTTTTATAACCAGGAGGTTCGTTGAGCCTTCGGCCCACTTAATTTTTCTGGGTCCGGAGTCAACCTTTAGACACGCAATTAATTGCACCCCCTCCTCCCCACCAGTGGATTCGAACCCAGGACGTCGAGGATGACTTTGTCACCTCTTCGCCACTGGGCCACCCACTGTTGGGTTACGGGTATAGATTTTATCCAAGTCAAAAATATCATCCGCATTATAATAAATGTTGCATGCAAATACAACTAGAAACCAAACAGACGTGGGCGTATGCATCGTCATCAATGCCATGCCCAATGTGTAAATTACTATTACAAGTATACGATAAATGAAAAAAAAGGTAAAAAGTATACCATAAATGATAAATACCCAAACTAGCCTAGGCGAGTGGTTGAGGTGTGGGTCAATGTGCCTTCACATCAACGGTTCGATTCCTGAGGGTGGGGAGGGGTATTCACATGGGCTCCTCCTATCCTCTGCGAGATGTAGTCGGACCGAAGACCTGGTGAACTTCCGGATTAAAAAAAAGTATACGATAAATGATACTAAATGTTTTGGAATTGGTTTGGGGCCGAGTAGGGGTGTGGGTGTTTCGGGAAACGGTTCGGGTTCGGAACGGAATGGATCGGTTCGGTTCTTTCGGTTTTACAAAAATAGGTACAAATTGGGTTTTTTATTGTATTCGGTTCGGTTTCGGTATCGGTTCTGGGTTTTATTAAAAAATGATAGAATTCCTTTAAAAATATTCGGTTTTTTGGGATTTTTAAAGTTCGGTTTGGTTCCGGGAAAATTCGGTTCTCTAAAAATGGTATCGTTCGGAAAATAACAGCGGTTTCGGGTTGGGAAAAATACCGTTTTAACTGTAATACCCCGATTCCCGAATAAATTATTTAAATTAACTTCGGCAATAAAATAGGGTAAGACAAGTCTAAAATATAAGGTGATTGGCATAAGAATCGAACCAAGGGATCAACGGGACTGGAATGCGTCAAAAACGTTGAAAAAACAAAGGAAATAGGGCCTAGACCGATCGGTCCAGAGGTAGACCAACCGGTCTAGCGAAAAACGGTGAAAAAGACGAAAAATCGGTCAAGAACGGACGGACCAGGGTGTAGAACGGACGGTCTACACGTTCGCGAAGCGGAACGGACGGACCAACACCAGAACGGACGGTCTGAGGGTTTGGGAAAAAGTCGCCGAAAATTTTTGACTTTCTTCCATTTTCGGCCGCGATTTTCTCGCGACACACCGACCCCACGCATGAACGAACGCCACCCAGACGCAGTGGACGACACCCTCTGGCCCTCCTACCCTCTCCCTAGCTCCTATGGCGGCGTTAGAGGTCGATTTAACCGGCTCCAACAGGTGAAGATCACCATTCTGCAACCCAGAACCTGTTCTTCGAAGGCAGAGGAAAATAGAGAGATTCAGGGAGATTTGAGGCGAAACAAGTTTGGAAAATCAAAGAAGGACATCCCTAGGAGGTTCCTGGAAAGTTTCACGACCAAAGACGGCCTGAAGAACGCACACGAGCTCGGACAAAAACGCACAGCACTTGAATCCGAGGTGAGTGGTTTGGATTGTGTTTGTGAGATTCTATTTTCATGATTTATGGTGTAGACTAGTGATTCTGCAAGAGTTAAGAACTTAGGAATGTTAAGTATTGAGTGGGTAACGATTAGACCGTAAATCGGATCTGAATTTGGGCAAAAATGGCGAAAAATCGGACTAAGCTCGTGAGGAAGATGAAGATCTGGGTCCCAGACCGTCCGGTCTACGGACGTAGACCGTCCGTTCTGGGACACGGCAGAACGAACACGTAGAAATGAACTGGAACGACCGTTCCAGCAGGACCCAGACCGTCCGGTCTGAGAAACAAGGGAGAACGGACGGTCTGAGTGCGCAGGACCGCCCCGTCTGGACCACGTAGAACGGACGTTCCGAATAAGCTGGAACGTCCGGTCTGGCCCTGTAGAACAGACAGTCTAAGCATTATGAACAGTGAAAAATCTCAAAATCGTTGGACCGTTCGGTCCACTGGCTGCAACCCCGACTATAGGTTAAACGAATTAAGTTATGATAAAGGAATTAAGAGGTGTTCAACTGAAAAATGAAAAATGAAAACAAGTATGTTAGATGATTATACAAATATGGAAGAATAAAAGATGAGATAATTAAATCAAAAACCTTGGTGAGTATCAAGGATTAATCCAAGAGAAAAACTCGGAAGTAGTGATAAGGAAATAAGATGGTAAATAATTGTGTGGGTATGCATGTGATTGAATGACTAAGGAACCCCGTACTTAGTACCGGTTGACGGCGGGAGTCAGTGCTAGTACGGGGATGTGTGGATATGGAACCAGTGCCGGTTGACGAACTTGGAGTCAGCACTGGAGGATGTGTGGTTTCGGTAATAGTACCGGTTGACGAACTTGGAGTCAGTATTATTACCAAAAACGTAATACCAGTACCGGTTGACGATGTGGAGTCAGTACTGGTATAGTTGGGTGGACGTTTCTGTAACGGTATCGGTCGACGAAGTGGAGTCAGTACCGTTAAGAAAATGTGTAGTGAAGCCAGTACCGGTTGACGGCGTGGAGTCAGTACTGGTGGATCTGAGTGGTCGTCTTTATAATAGTACCGGTTGACGAAGTGGAGTCAGTACTATTATAGGGAAGCAGGGTAAAGTCTAGTACCGGTAGACGAATTGAGTCAGTATTAGATGATACCGAAAGGAACGGTACCTGATAGTGCCGGTGGACGATTTGAGTCAGTACTATCAGGTATCGAAAAATGTGTGAAATAATGTTAAAGTGTTAAAAGGATAAATGAGAAAGGATTAAATGGATTAAAAGAATTCTTGTATTGAGAGATTAGTTGGCACTGTTCTCCATGAGAATGGGCTCTCCGGGCTCAACCCGAGCCATTCACTAAGCATTATGCTTAGCCCTCTGTTGTTGAATTTTTCAGATCCCGAAGAGCACGAGTAGCGCACTTGCGACGACGACGACTTGAGAAAAGTGACATCATGTACGGACATTTTATCTTTCGTGTGTTTTAGACTGTGGAACATGGTTCAATGTGAAGACGGTTGTGTTTAAATTACGTTTTTGGACATGTGTTGTTTTAAAGAGACGTGTGATGTGTGTTATTTTTCGCTGCGTACTTTTGTGTAAAAATGATTTTTAATTTCCCGTACTTTCGGTTTTATTGTATTTTATTGGTTTCGTCCATGTGGCATATCCTGTTCACGGGATGCGGGATTCGGGTGTCACATTAACGGTTCGGTTCGGTCCGGTTCCGAAGAACCGAACCGAAACGCCCAGCCCTAGGGCCAGCCATGTGAACGTCACTTTCTTTCTCATTGTCTCTTGCAGGACAATATCCACAAGGAATTCTGTCCGTTGACACTGTAACCTAGACATGAGCGTTTCGAAATTCGGTTCGGTTTCGATTCTTGTTAAAAAAAATATATATATATTTTTAAAAATTTTATTTTTTTCGAGAATTTTATAAAATTATGTTCTGTTCGATTTTATAAAAAAATAACCGGTAATTTTGAATGATACGGTTTGAGAAAATACCGAAATTTTTTATTCGGTACGGTTCGAACCGAAACGCCCAGCTCTATGGTAATCATTCATTCGTTTGGTATGTATGTGTGTGTATGTATGGATTTTATGGTAGATATTATTTCTGTAATATTCCAAATGTCACAATATCGCAGAGCCCACTTTCGACACTTACAAAAAGGATACTGCTCTCTTTGCTTACCATATAACAGCTAGCGATTTTTAGCTTATTCTCCGCCTTCAATCCTCTGCCACAATTTCCATATCTTTTTATCGAGTGTGATTTTTTTTTATAAATAATTTAATGAAATACAAATAAAACAGATTATAGATAAAATTTAATAAAAACGGAATATATTTTGAAATGAATATTTAAAAACAGAGTGTAAACACGACATATAGTAGAAAATAATTGATACATTATTTTATATTTGCAAATTACAATTTTGTTTTTTCTTTTTCTAAAGCATACATGTTTATAATGAAAAAGAAAATAAATAAATAGTTATATTGTGATTCAGTAAAAATGTAGAAAAATAAATACACTAATTTTGGGGTGGAAATCAAGTATGATTGGAATTAAGTTTTCTTCCCCAACTTGACCATTGGAAAGGAAAAATGTTTCGAAAATTAACTCAAATTCTAGACCATACAAACACTTTTTTATTTCTATTTTATCGGTTGAATTAGCCAAATTAGATAGATATGTAAGACGGTTAACATCTCAATTTTATCATATCTAACAAAATTAAAATTAAAATTTCAATGCTTCGAACAATTAACAAAAAAAAAAGATTTATTAGAAAAAAAAAAAGAATAATTTACATAGATACACTAATGATCAAACACGAGATAAACTGTAAAACGGCGTGAAGTGGAATGGAATCGCAGATAAGACTACCGAAAGTACAAACAAATGTCGGAACCGTACAGGTCTAGCTCGATAACCAAACACAGAATCCAGAAATCACAAATGATGATATAAATCGAAAAAAAAACGTGAAAATCTAGAGAAATAAGGAACAAAAAAAAATAAAGATTACACAAAATGAAAAATCTCACAAGATGAGAAAATGGGCTGCAACTCCGGCGACAAACGACAGTACAGCCACGTTGTCTTTAACAGTGAAAGCTGCAGATCCCGGCGGTGACATATCCGGCGACATTCCGGCGGCGGGACCTGGAGAAGGCGCTGACCCCATGCCCGGCGGTGACGGCGGAGAAGCTGCCGGAGACATCGGCGACGGCGACGGTGGGCTCATTGGGGCCATGGGCGTCATCGTCGGAGGAGGAGTCATGGGCATCGACGGCGGAGGAGTTGCCGGAGAATCACCGCCGCCTCCAGGCGTCATGGGCATCGGCGGGGGGGGAGCCTCCGGTCATCGGAGGCATAGACATTGATCCCGTCGGAGCCATCATTGGGGCTTGAGCTGTGGAAAAGGTGATCAATGCGAGAAAAACGGCGAAGAAGAAGAAAGCTCCTTGTGAAATTGCCATTATGCTGTGTGGTTGAATCTTTTTTTTTTTTTTTTTTTTTGGGGGGGGTGCAAAAATTGAGGGATAGTGAAGAAATATATATATAGAGGATACGGTGAAAAAGCGAAGGTTATCATGTGATTGAAATATTCATCTGATGGCCAATGAATTTATGTCATGCTGCCTTGGGACCGATGACACGTGGCAGTGACCGTATGGGCATTAGATGCTGTTTTATATTGGTTTAATGAATGGGTATTTAAATTACCCACGTGTAGAATATGCCAAATATTTATGCAATGTCGATAATGGGTTTAGATATTTAATCATATTATTGATATATATATATATTTACTCTTTGTGGTATTAAAATGAATATGAATGGCCAACTTAATACTTTTATATATTAATTATTACGAACTTAAATTGGGAAATGGATACAAAACATAAAAAATAATAATAATAAGGGGGGACCGTTTCGTGTCTTTGTTGTAATGTGACCACTACCCGACATTATCCCATCACCATACTCACGAGAGGGCACTCTATATATTTTCTCATTTACTACTAACCGACCCTCTAGAACTTTCTATAATTTACATCCGTAACCATATAATATATATATATATATATATTATGTAAATATTCATCCATATATAATCTACTTCATCTCAAGTCGTACATATAATAATTAATGATCAAATTAATTAAAAATGTAAAAAAATTAAAAAATTTATTTGAAAGTTTTTTTATCAACAAAAATCGAGATCAAATTCAATATAAAATCAAATGATTATAATTTGTGTAAAGCCGAAATAACGAAAATGTGAAAGTCAAATCACCGCTTGGATCGTCTACATACACATCCACGTCTTCTGCACATGATTATAATTTATAATTAGTTTATAAAGTTACAGGCTGAGTCAAATCCCAAATTAATTTAAATAATTTATTAGGATATTTAAATAATGATGGAATATCAAAATTGGTTTTTATAAATTCCGCAATATTATACGGTGAAGAAATATGATCACAGTTGATTGGGCTTTCGAATGGGCCATGGAATGTGGGTACATGGACTCGATACGTACTGGGCTCGAACGGGTTATCACGTGTTCATCACGTGACCGGGTTCTAGCGGGAAAACACCGTCCTCGCAAAACTTAAAACCCAACTCACATGTGCAGCACGTGACATTTTCCCGCCCATTTTCCACTTTCCCTTCTCTCTCTCAAAACTTGCAATGTCGGAACCGGGTCAACTCAAGACGACGACCGCCTCAGGCGAGTCACTCGCTCTCGCCATCACCGAGTCAGATCGCGACGATCAACGCTATGAACAAGCCTGGCAACTGTCTCATCTCCTTTTCTCCATCGGCTGTCCTACACCTGTGACGGATCTCGCTTCGCTGTGCACCCACTTCCAAGCTTCGCCGGAGCTCGTCAAATTACTCTGTTCCATCCCTAATTCTCCGATCTCGCTTGCCGGCAATGGCTTCTACGTGACTCTCTCTTGCAGGTTTCTCTCGGCTTGTGCTGCGCAAGCGTGGAGTTTGCGGCTGTCGTCATATCCTATAACCCCACAGATCAGGAATTTCCTCGATTGGAATCTCACGATGCCAAATTCATATGTTATCGGTCGCTTGAGAGGTTGATAGTTTGGCTTTCTGAGTATATCAGATCTTTTGCGTCTGAAATTGTGATTTCTCGGTTAACTGGTGTTATATAACTTTTCCTTTTGAATCTCTGTTTCGGATTAACTGGTGTAGAGTTTTGGATTGACAATGATAATGAAAATGCAGAAATCGATGAAGAAGAGGAGCTTCAACTCTCGCCATTGCCAAAAAGAATCCGAAGGGATTCTGAAGAGGTAATCTCTAAACTGTTGCTTCGCAGGGTAAACTTGATTTTGATATTATTCAAATCATCGTTTCATGGAGGAATCGACGTTTTATGTAGGCGCATAACCCCGTAATGGCCAGCAACAGTAGAATCATTAATGAACAAGCTGATAATTTGCTAACTGTGGTCAACGGGTCCATGGTAGAGACCCTTGCGGCTCTTGAATCCCGAGCATTGATGTTCAGATGCAACCACGAGGTTCCTTTCCTTTTTCATGATGTAAATTCTGCAAAAAAACTAGAGCAATCTACCAATGGCAAAGAAATAGTGGTTCAAGAGCCTTGTGCGTGTCCTCAGACACGAATTCTTGATCATGATATTCTTGACGCAAGTTCAGTGGATGCAAGTCACATGTATTGCATAGAGGAAACCAAGCAAAGCACTGCAGGTCCAGTAGAGGCCGCAGATTTTAAACAAGTTGAAGTTGCAGATGTTAGTCCACTCGATATTGATGGTTGTAATCAACTTGAAATCGGGGATTTTGGCTATCCATTTAAGGTGACGGTTGGGGAGATTGCTGAAAAGCAGGGAATTATTGAGGGCGATGAGGAGGATAAGGACGATATGAATCTGTGTTTGAAAGGCAAAACAGGAACTTACTTTCTTCCGTCTAATGAGGTTGCTCCTTCTATACCATCAGAAAGTGTGTTAAGATCTATAAACATGGCACCAGACAGTGAGGATAATGCCTCTTCGAATCATAACCCACCTAAGAAAGAAGATCCTGATGAAGTTGTCTTCTCTGCCCCTGCTGGTGAGCAGCCATTGAAGCCTTCTACCACAATCGGGAATGAAACTAGGTCTTTGGATCACAAAATGCAGGATCTTTGTAAACCCTTTGAAAACAAGAAAGCTGCCAGTGTTTCCCCTCGGATGCAGCAGAAGAAAAGAATCAAAGGGCCCCAGAAGCCAAAGCAGACCCAAAATAGCATTCGACTTAAAGATAAGAAGGTACTGGTTGCTTTCTTCTTAAGTTAGCCCCTTTCGATTTCGTTTTTTCTCCCAAATGGCTACTATGCATTAATATTTAACATTTGAAATGCCTAACTTCAGCAGTATATTAATTTCTCATATTTGTTGTTTAGGATCAGTCAGAGCAAAACACATTTCCATATTTTGAGTCTTACATTATTGAAGAGGAAGAAGGTTCAGGTAAAGATTTTGTGAGTATTTGTGTATATTTCTGTTATGCAAAAGCCACTTCTCTCGCTGTAGCTAATCATGGTGCATCTGTTGAACTTCTAAACGGCAGGCGGTTATGGAACTGTTTACAGGGCTAAGAAGAAAGGAGAGGGAACTAAGGTTGCCATTAAATGTATGTGAGCTGAATGATATGAAGCTGTATACTGACACTGCATCACATGTGTTTTCAGTAGTAAGAGTTACCTCGTGTTTTTTTTTTCCATGCAGGTCCCCATGCAGAAGCTCAGAAGCAGTATGTTAATAACGAACGAAGGATGCTGGAGCGCTTTGGGTATGTATGATCTGACATCAAAATTTCCACTCTACTTCAAGACTTCAAGTCCATTTATATGAATTTATCTTAATGTGGGGTTGTTTTTGTTTAAAGCAGAGGAAAGAACTTTATAATAAAGTATGAAGGCTGTCTCAAGAGTGGAGATTCTGATTGCTTTATACTTGAACATGTTGAACATGACAGACCCGAGTTATTGAAGAGAGAAATAGACGTGTTCCTGCTACAGCGGTATGGTTACTGCATGTTCAGTGCACTGGCAAGTCTACATAAGCAGGTAGCAGCAAGACTTCACTACTGACGACTCTCATTTATTTCAATCACGGAGCTAACCTGTTCAAATGCTTTGCTCTCTGCACACGCAAAGGGCGTTGTTCATAGGGATGTCAAGCCGGGAAATTTCCTTTTCTCTCGGAAGACGAACAAGGGCTATCTCATAGACTTTAATCTTGCAATGGTATGTATATATATGGTGTTTCACCTTCAACATCAACATCAACATCGCTTTAATCCCAAGTTTTTTTGGGGTCGGCCGCATAAATTCTTTGTTTCCACTCATTTCGATTTTGGATTTAACCTTCTGAAATTTGCAACATCTCTAAATCGTTTCACCTTCTCTTAAGAAATTTCTTTTATTGTGGGAGTTATTGCAAATAGTTTTCTTACAATAGGACCAGTTTCTAACTGATGTTTGTGTTTGTCTATCTGTTTTTTTGTTATGTATACATACATATATTCTGTTTCCGCAAATCGACTCTGTAATTGAGTGTTTGTCTTCTATGGCTTTTGAAACAGGATTTGCACCAGAAATACTTGAGAACTGGTAAACTTCTCTCTGCTTGGATTACACACTGATTGATATTGCTGAGATGTTTTAAAATAATGATATCTGTTCTGTGTTTTTGTAGATAAATCTAAATCGGTCTCAAATTTAAACTCTAATCACGCTGCACCTCAATACCCTGACTCTGAGCTTCCAACCACCAGCAAGAAGCATCACACATTGCTTAAATCAAAGAACAACGCAAACTCTGTGACCAACAAATCTCCCCAGACAACTTTAGCGCCCAATAGCCTGAAGAAGGCTGTGGGAAAGATTCGGGCTCAAAATGACTTGAGTAGATGGGACCGCTTCAACAGCCAAGGGGCTGATGGTTCTGGTTTAACTTCGGTAAAAGAGGTGGCCGGCACGAGGAACAACCCTTCAGGTGACAAGAAGAGAGAGCCTTTACCGTGCCATGGAAGGAAAGAGCTCATACTCTTTCTGCAGGAAACAATGTCTGGTTCGAACCATGAAGTATCCAGAACACCTGCATCTATGAAGAAGCGCATTGCTGCATTGCCCAGGGAAGCTCACAAGGAGCTTCTTTATCTGACACCAATGCCGTTGCTTTCTAATAGCCTTCCTGTAGCCGGGGCGGGTTTAACCAGCAAAGGTATATAACTATTTGTAGTGTAATGTTGCTGTTAGAGTTTCCTCCCTCGGTCCTTTTATGGTTTTTTGACTTCTCTAGGAGGTGTAATCCAGAAGAAAGATGGCCCCTGTGCTGGAACCAAAGGCTTCCGAGCTCCCGAGGTACATTGATTGTAACTATTGCCAATGTGCCATTGCATATGTGTATCTATAATCTTGTTTTGTAGTACCATGAGAGCTTCTTTCTGGATGTCTGTTCACACACACACACACACATTGAGCTTGAGCTAATGTATGTATCTTTATATGAATCCAGTCCACGGTTTTGCCCTAACCACTGCCATAATAGTTCTTAATTCAGTTTGCATGAGGCCTTAGACACTCAAACCTTTAAAAGCTGCAAATTATGGATTCTGAATTTAGTCCATTGTGGCTTGTTCATGTTGCATATTCTGCTCTGAGCATCATTGGCCTAGTAGGATTGGGGTGGGATTGATCCAACTAATGCCTAATCAACCCATCAGTTGTCCAGATCAATGGCTTTATTAATAATTGTTTGATATAGGAAGCTAACCCATGAAACATATACATCTTGCATCTTGAGAAGAGAAGAAAGAGGTTTCCGCTTTGCCGGGCTAAAGAACCGTTACCGCTTAATGGTTTGGCAGGTTTGCTTGAGATCTTTGCACCAAGGCCCGAAGATAGACGTGTGGTCAGCTGGAGTCACTCTGCTATACCTAATGATATTTGTTGTTTAGGATCAGTCAGAGCAAAACACATTTCCATATTTTGAGTCTTACATTATTGAAGAGGAAGAAGGTTCAGGTAAAGATTTTGTGAGTATTTGTGTATATTTCTGTTATGCAAAAGCCACTTCTCTCGCTGTAGCTAATCATGGTGCATCTGTTGAACTTCTAAACGGCAGGCGGGTATGGAAGAGA